AGAGATGCTTATCTTCAGAAATGTGTCAAGTTACGAGTCGTTAAAAACAATTATGCCTTCAATTATCGTTCTACTCCTGAGAACAAAATTTGTTTAATCTGTTTTGGTTACTCCAGTTCTGTTTAATATTGTTTCTTATGTTTCAAGATGTTGAGTATTACAATGCTATACCCACCCTTAAGACATCTCAGCTCCAAAACTGCTTATTGAAAGAGCTTGGGATTTTGTTGGTGTGACTCTGTGTGTGTGTGTGTGTGTGTGTGTGTGTGTGTGTGTGTGTGTGTGTGTGTGTGTGTGTGTGTGTGTGTGTGTGTGTGTGTGTGTGTGTGTGTGCGTGCGTGCGTGCGTGCGTGCGTGCGTGCGTGCGTGCGTGCGTGCGTGCGTGCTGCGTGCGTACGTGCGTGTGTGTGCGTGCGTGCGTGAGCGTGTGTGTGTGATTTGAATGATATGCCATATCATTCAATATTAATCAATAGATTGAATATGGAGAATCAGTCAACATCATCACTTAGAAAGAGAATGGCGTTTTATTATTTTACGATTGTGATTATGAGCAATACGATGGCAATAAACTGGTCTGAGATTGCGGCAGGATCCGGTGTGGAAATTATTTTAATACATTTTCTTGGGACTCTTAATCGGTTAAAAATCACCGATTTTACTCCTGCATAAATAAAGGATGTGTCGGTTTAAACGTGTTTAACCTAAGCCAGTCTTTACTTCTCTTTCCATTAACCCATTCAAATTTGTACAAAAAAAAAAAAATAATAATAAATAATAAATAAATAAATAAATATATAAATAAAATATATAATAATAATTTAGTTATATCTTATTAGTGAGCGAATCGTAATCTTTTGTCAAACAAGGCGACCCACGTCATTATAAAAATTAATTAGTCGCCAAAATTTAACAGCTTATTTTGAATAGGAACGTGACATGAAATGGTAACGGTCAACCTCATTGTATTGAAAACGTGAGGTTTACATCCTTGAGATACAGCGTCATCTTTTTGGGTGCAATATGAAAACCATTATTAATATATAATTTTCAAAATGGAGAAGAAAATTTATATCTCCATAAGAATCTTTGGGACTGTTAATACTGACAAGATTGGCAGACAAAATTCAAATGTAATTTAACCACATGGTATATTGCGCAGACTTAAAAATAATAATTAAAAAAACAAATTTAAAAAACAATATTCAACTTTTCTGGCGACTCCCAGTTTGTGCTATGAATACATGGTTTAAAAAATAATAATTTCTGCGTCTTTATTGAATGTTTTATTTATCTATGAAAACTGACAATGATAAACAGTGCATATCATTCTGTCGCATCCTGTATGTACAGGAAGTGAGAATGTTATTAATATCAAGATCCCTTTAATATTAACCTTGAAACGTTATCCATTAAACCTCTCTCTTCGTGAATTTCATACTTGAGATTTCGTGCTCAGAAACGTTACATTTTTTGTAGAATCTTCATGGTTTAAAGATACATTTACGAAACGAAGAGATATGGAAAATCGGCGCTTTTAGAAACACGATGCTCACTTTTCCGCGCGCATACGTGTCTTGGATTTTTTTGCCGATTTTTCCTCTTTGTATGTTTAATCCTTAAAGGTTTATTTTCGCACTATTCTTCTTCTGTTGCTCTTTTTCTCTCTTTTTTTCATTCGTTTTTCAGTTTTTATTCATGTAAATTAATTTATTAGTTTTGTTGGTATTTGCCGCTGTTTCTTCTGATATTCCCTCTTTCTCTATCTCTCTCCTTCTCCTCCCCCATCACCCCCCCCTCTCTCTCTCTCTTTCTCTCCCTAACTCCCTACCTCCCTCCCTCCCTTCTCCCCCCTCCTCCTCTCTCATGCCCCCCTCCCCCCCTCCTCCTCCCTCTCTCTCTCTCCCTCCCCCTCCCTCTCTCTCCCTCCCCCTCCTCTCCCCACTCTCCCCCCTCCTCCTCACTCCTCCTCCCTCCTTCCTTTCCTCTCCCTCCTCCTCTGTCCCTCCCTCCTTCCCTCTCCCTTTCCCTCTTCCCCCCACTCCCCATTCCCAACGCTCTGTGCACCTGTAACCTTCTTCTACCGTAATTACCTAACAGGTGCGGTGCAGAAAGAGGCTAAATTATTTATAATTACGTTAACATCTCCATCACAACAGTGCATAATCAGTGAAAATAGACGTACAAATCCGTTAATCCACTAAATAAAGATTTTCCTTAATTTAGCGCCGTGCCATAAACACCAAAACAAGTGGTTTCCCTCATAGCGCGGAGAGAAAGTACGGGATGGACCGTCACAGCCGAGTGAAAACCTGTTTGGCCACGAAAACGGTCCACTTACCCGGCGTACGTAGTGGGGGAAATATGCAAGGATTGCCCCATCGTGATCATTATTCTGTTTTAGTTTCTTATTGTTGGATTCTTCCTCATAAGCTCCACCACTTTTTTTTATTACTGAACAGGCCTGTTTTCCTTGCCTCTCTCTCTCTTTCTTTCTTACTTTCTCTCTCTCTCTCTCTCTCTCTCTCTCTCTCTCTCTCTCTCTCTCTCTCTCTCTCTCTCTCTCTCTCTCTCTCTCTCTCTCTCTCTCTCTCTCTCTCCTCTCTCCCTCTCCCTCTCTCTCTCCCCCTCCTTCTCCCGCTCTCTCTCTCTTTCCCTTCCCCACCTTCGACGAATAACCTCAATACGAAAAAATCTGTAATAATTATTATCCTCAGTATAAAATGAATTCGAAAAAACAAACAAAAACAAACAAACATATTAATGGCAAATCACCACGCGATTCATTAACTACACCCATTCCTTAGAATATTCGAGACCATTATCTCTCTCGGACAATGAGGACTTTCCACGTCAACAGTGAGTGTCTGTTGTCACTACCTCAGCTGGGACGAAAGAGAGGGTTGCCATGGTTACCACCGACGCCACACGCTCGCTTGCAATGATTTCTCCTACATATCTCTCCCTATGTTTAGTTTTTATTGTTTATCTGTTCTCTACACTTCATTCAGGGAAGCGTAACATGTGATTAGTATGTACATTAGTACTTATTTTTCTTTAGTTATGGAAAGGTTTGATTTTTTTCCAATTTCAGGTTTACGGTATTTGAAGCGTTTAGACTTTCACTTTTGGAATAGCGGATAATGGAAGGACAGGCGATCCCATAAACGAAAGATAGAATTACAAGAATTATAATGTGCGATGCAAATAAAGCCAAATTATGTAGTAATAGCAATGATAATTTGAGAATGTGATGATATTAGATACTATCATGACACTTTTGCGAATGATAATGATAGTGATAACAATCATAAATGATTATTAGCTTTATTGTAACAACAACAATAAAACAGAAATAGAAGAGGCAATAACAGAAATGACTAGAGGTGATAGTAGTGATAGTAATAACAAAAACAACCACCACTGATACAATGATATTAGTAGTAATACTAGTAGTAGTAACAGGGGCATTAATGATAGTACCAGTAATACCATGGGCGGCACTGGATAATCATGGATAAAGGTCTCTCCCCCCCCCCCCCTCTCTCTCTCTCTCTCTCTCTCTCTCTCTCTCTCTCTCTCTCTCTCTCTCTCTCTCTCTCTCTCTCTCCTCTCCCTCCCTCCCTCCCTCCCTCCCTCCCTCCCTCCCCCCCTCTCCCTCTCAATTTCTCTCTCTCCCTGTCTGTCTCTGTCTGTCTGTCTGTCTGTCTGTCTGTCTGTCTGTCTGTCTCTCTCTCTCTCTCTCTCTCTCTCTCTCTCTCTCTCTCTCTCTCTCTCTCTCTCTCTCTCTCTCTCTCTCTCTCTCTCTCTCTCTCTCTCTGTCGTCAGTGCAAGGGAAGGCTGGCCATGCTCTCCTAAGGTTTTGTTGTTGATGATATTGATTATGATAAAGGGAATCATGATAACGTGGATGATGGTATTGATATAATGCTGATAATGATGGTGGTGGTGATGTGATAATGATAATAATAATGATAATAATTATGGTGAGAAAAATAATGCTGATAATGAAAATAATGACAGCACTGCTAATAATAATGAGAACAGCAATAATAATAATGGTGATGATATTGACAACAAAAATAATAATGATATTAATAACAATAACAATAATAGTAATAATGATAACAATGATGGCACTAATAATGAGAATGAGAATGATGGTAATAATAATAATGATAATAAGCATCATGTAATAATACTAATATTGACAATGATAATAACAGTAATGATAATCATAATAATTATAATAATGATAATGATAAAAATGACCGTAATGTTAGTAGTAATAGTAGTAGTAGTAGTAGCTGTTGTAGTAGTGGTAACAATAATAATAATAATGATAACAGTAATAGTTATGGTAATAACGATCAAAAGGATAATAAGTAATACCTTTAATGGAAATTGGATAAGCTGCATTATATGTTATTTCTCTTTATTTCTCATATTTTCAGTCTCTCCATTCTTCCTCTTTTTAGCGGATATCAAACTTTCTTTTCTAGAAACTCTTTCCTAGACAAAACATGTATTTGTTTTCCAGTATACCTTTCACCGTATTCTAGAAGGTGCTGCAGGTTATAAATGTATGTCACTTCCTTAACCCTCATTCGCTATGCAGGAACGGTCAACTGCAGATTTAATTCATTAGAAAGGAAGATATTGATTGAGTTCTGATGGTAATTATAATTTTCAGAAACAGATAAGGGCCAGTTAAGACTCTGTATTTTAGGGATGAATATATTTACTCATTCCTCTCTTAGACGAACGTTCACCGATGCGTCCGGATTTTTGGATATACCCCAAAAAGGTTCTTTCTTACGGTGTATTCAAAGAATAAATATAAAACAAATTAGCAAAATTATGATATCAAGATACTAATGATAGTATGTAAAATAAGGAGATTGATCGCAAATTATCGTTAAGAGAATAGAAAAACGCGTCAGCTTACACCTCAGACCATAGTTTCTCGCTTGGGTCGGCGTTATCGTGACGTGTACGTGTTGTTTCGTCGCGAGCTCATTGGGCGCTCAACAAGTAGCAGGGATGGATCTCTGCTGGAGTCTCGCGTTGCTCTTATCTCTCATATCGTTTGTGCTCAGTCAAACGCAACACAGACGCTTCGAATACAAGTACAGCTTCAAGGGCCCTTACTTGGCGCAGAAGGACAACCTCGTGCCCTTCTGGACGTACAGTGGAAGTGAGTAAAGGGCGAGAGTGCGGGGCTTGACAGCTCGCTCGGGCCGGTCAAAGGGGGTCGTCTGCTAACATATGCTCGTACCCTGGGCATGGGGCACCTTCCCTCGGCGTCCAGGGGGCCTCGCGAGTGGGTTGGGCGCTGGACGAAGGGAATTTATGGAAGTTCTGAAGGGGCTGGTGTTGACGGTGGCTTTGTAAGGGCTGCGGCGAGGGCGGAAAAGAGGTTTGTTTGTTGACATGGAATTGTAAACATATGTCAGGTCTCATCCGGAAAAGGCTGAAAAAGTGTGTCATGGGAGGTTACAGTTTGTCTGTGTGTGTTTTGTAACGCCGTGGAGTACTTAGAAGTCCTTTTAATGTCTGTCCATATGTTGGAGGAAATTTCCTGATTCACATAGGACAAAAATACTGAATCAGCTGTTTTCCAGTTTAGAACACCTGGCCTATAACTCGTTCTTGCTGCTGAAATTGTAGATACTAATTGAGCTATAATTATATGTCAGTGAAGGCTGTGTTAAGATTTATGCGCAGAAAGATTAAGTAAACCTCTGTTTCCCGTTTCTGAGAGAGGCATCTTTGACACATTGATCGTGCAAGTCTAGTATATGATCCTACGCGGCTGAAATTAAGATGAAAGCCTAATTGCCTGATTCAACTAAAGTGGAAAATTGAAAGGAGGTTTGTTGCATGTGAGGGTGTGGTCTTATGGATGAATGGAACGATGGAATCCACATGTAGCGTGAGGGAAAAGAGTGCCATAAGCAATTTAATATGAATACAATAATTTTTTTTGTATATTTTGGTTTGGATTAGTTACCAAATCAACATGTGCTGGCAAGGATTAAATAGCATACCTATTTGTGCAGTAAACTACATTAGTGCTGGATATGATCATTAAATGTACTAACCAAATAAGCACCATAATAAGATTTGAAGGGATAAGTATTTGATATTAGTTTAGCACTGATAGGCATACTGGCTGTATTTATTGTCGTGTTGAATTGGTCACACGAGCATTGATCTACAAACATTGCTAAGAGATTTTGGATTCCTATTATATCTTGCATTTAGATTGTCACTTATTAGTGTTATCTACTAAAATCTTGTCATTAAAATACTTAGTGTAGTTTCAAAACTATTACTCTTATTCTTACATTTCTTGTATTTGAACTTGCCATATTTGGCAGTATCCCACATAGTTATGTTTCTGATTTTTCTATAACATTGTCACATAGTTTCATGGTTTCTTTCTAAACTCTTAGTAATGGAATGTATGAGGATCTGTAATTAGCATTTAATTTTTTTATGCCTAATGATATTTTTCTTTTTGCAAAAGAAAGCCAGAGATAGTTAACTTTCTGCTTTAGGTAATTTTTCAGAATACCTTCGCATAACTGATCAAGATGTTTTTGGTATCAATGGATTCCTCTTACTACTATCCAAATATATGGAAGTTACGCTACAGAAATCCACCATTAGCAATAGTCTTGGCCCCAATAGCAGGGGAGGGCATGAAAGGTACTAGGGAAATTGAAGGGTGAAATATGAATAATATACACAGAATCGGTTACCACAGTGTCTAATTCCCCTGGGAGACTATTGCCCCCAGTCCTTGCAGGTAAAGACAGAATCCACAATTTATTTACGACAAGGAAGAGCATATGTGACCAACATACGGAAGCACCTGATGCCAAGTCTGTCCTACGCTCTCTCTTGCTGTACATGTGCGGGGGATTCTTTGTTGTTCAGGGAGGGATTTGTGGGGATTGCAGCCCCCTGCATTTAACAATATATTTACCAGTTCTCTATTATTTATAAGTTACCCTGTAATTTCCCATGTACCATTCTTGCCCTCCCCTGAAATTGTGGCCAAGATTGTGGGTATGGGAAGGGGGCTGGGCTCTGCAGCATAATTTCAATATATTTGGTTAGTAGTGAGTGAGAGTAATCCATCAATACCAAATTGGTCGCAATTGGTTATGATAAGGTATACCAAAAAATTACCCTGCTTTGCATGTGATAAAAGTAGTAGTACTCATCATCCTAAGGTGCTTTTGACCCATACTAGTGACATCTGTGTTTATTGGTATTGTTTTTATTGCATGATTGGGTTTGTAGCGACTTTTTGTCATCTGTACACTTTTCCGTGAACTGTACCCATAATTATGGAAATAATGGGAACCTCTAAAGATATTCTTTTATTGATACTTTCAGAAGTTTTGAATTCATAATGTTTTAAATAGTCTTGAAATTTATTTTCTCAATGCAAAAGATGAACCTGATCAGAGATTCAACTTGTTTCCCATCAAAAATATATTTAGGGTCCTCAGTGTTTACATACTTTCTCCTTTCTTTGGTATTTTTTTCATGTATAAAAAAAAAGAATGATTCAGTAACTAATATGTTGAAAGAAATACTCAAGTATTTGTTATTTGTCTTTCCTAGTGCCTACTTTAGGTATTAGTTAAGTAAGATATTAGATTAAATTAATTTTAAAATACGCCTAACCTTAAGCTGAGCTTCAGATAGTTACATTAATTATCTAGACATTAATTATCTGGAATAGGACCTTGTGAACAGAGGGAAAATCTAAGGTAATGGCCACAAAGAAACCATCAGAGCAAAGTGCAGGTAAAGCCATGATTGCTTATGAGAGTTCATGGACTTGTCCTTGCATAGCAATGTTCAGCAATGCTCTGACCTCTGTGCTTGTACCTTAGTAGAGGCAAATCAATATCCGTGATGTATATTCTGGCAAGATAGAGCTTGTAGACCCCCTAGGCGTTTTAATGTAAAGTATGGAAGTGGTCCAGGCTCTGCCTTGTTCAATATTTATAATGGAGGTCTTTTCATGGTCTTTGCTAGAGTGCTAAGTGCAGATGCCAAACATTATATAATACATTCCTATTTTGGACATTTCCCATTCATGCATATATTTCTGTGATGGATAGGTGCTATTTCCAAATCATATTCTTCCAGATGCAATTGCAAGCGAAGAGAGCGTGAGAATCACTCCATCTCTGCGGAGTCAGAAGGGACAGATCTGGACTAAGAATCCTACAAACTTCGAATGGTGGGAAGTCGATGTTGTGTTCCGAGTGACGGGCAGAGGGAGAATAGGTGCTGATGGCTTGGTAAGTGTTACTTCTTAAATAATTGATCCATTTTTTGGGTAGATTTGTCTTTGTCGAATTAGAAGATTTGTATTTTTTATTTTACAGTTATCATAAATAGAAAATCTAAAAACGAGCACTTGTATACTGAGACAAACAATGTGTTGAGGAAGTGACATTGAACGGAATACTCCAACTCATGATAATTTTTTTTTTTTTTGGCTTCTAGGCAATCTGGTTCACAGACAAACCAGGAGTCGAGGGCCCTGTGTTCGGTAGCTCAGACCAATGGAATGGGTTGGGTGTGTTCTTTGATTCCTTTGATAATGACAACAAGCGCAACAACCCCTATGTTATGGCTATGGTCAATGACGGTACCAAAGTCTATGATCATGAACAGTAAGTATATTAACAGTGCACCATTTGTGGGAGTTATTGATATTTATTTTTTAGTTGTTCAAGTATACAAACGGACTGCACTGGCTTGGGAAATATCGTGATTAGCAGGGATAAGGTTAAGGAGCTATTTGGATCGCACAGTCAAGTTAATGAAAATTTGTGTTTCAAGTTCTCTCAAGTTGGGTGACTTAGTCTTTGACGAGTGTGGTCCTGTTGTAGACTTTTATCTTTATAACAATTCGTATTGCAGTTTAGGTAATATGAATAAAGTCTTGATTTCTATAAATGAAAGTGAAGAAAATCATACGGGATCTCACAAGAAAAACGCATGACACTTTCAGATAATCAGAAATCCGCTTCTTGCTTAAGATTTAATTTTTTTTTTATTCTAGTGATGGGCTGAGCCAACAATTGGGAGGATGTTTGCGAGACTTCCGTAACAAGCCCTTCCCTGTAAGAGCGAAAATTGAGTACTACAAGAATGTCCTAACGGTAAGTTTGATTGCAAGGATTACCTGTCTTATTATTATGAATTGAGAGGGTGGGGGTTTAAAGATTTATATGCATTGATTAACAATAATTTACTTAATCATAATTTTGCATACTGCATTTAGAAATGTAGGAAAGGATGTTTTATTATCTAGTGTCCAATAAGTAACAATACTTTTACCTTTTAAATTTTGAGGTATGTTTTAGACATTTTGGTGTAACATTGTTTAGCATAAAAAGATCCTGTAATGGTATTTTTGATAGAGGATTTTTTTTTTTGCATGGTACCAGAATGATTTTAGAGGGTTTTGGAATATTAATAACTTCATGTGGACAGGTAAAAACCCAGCTGATAGAGTATGATTATTCAAAAATGGAAGAGGAGGGTGATATAGGGGATGAAAATGGGACTAGGTATGATGAACCAATACAACCAGTGGAACCATATGAAAGTTCAACCACCACCACCTCCCCTACGACAACTGGTGCCCCTTTGTCTGAGTACGATGATTACACAACAACTGCCTCTCCTGACTCGTCAACCACTACAAATTTGCCTGGAGATGGCTCTCAGTCGACTACCACTGCTTGGTGGGGTAGTGAGGAAGCATCCACAACTATAAGCCCAGAGAGTGAAATAATTGCCGAGACAGAATACACGCAGGATGCCCCAGAGAGCAGCCACACTTTTGAGGAACCTGTGCATGAGAATGCAGAAGGTGAGATGGAGGCTGGCTGGGGGTGGTTTGGCACCAGTGAGGCCACACCAACGGAAGAACCATCAGTGACCTCGACACCTAAGCCCAACAAGAAGACCAGGAGGAGGAGGAGGAAGAAGACCAGGAGAAATAGAACGAAGAAGAGTAAGAAGAGGCTGGGGAGCATGAGCCCGGTAGGGAGGCATGATGGAATGACCCAAAGAGTGGCGATTTGTGATTCCCAATTGACCAGCTAATTAAGAATTATAGTACAACCTTTCTTAGAACAAGTAATTCAGTGTGTGGTGGTGTGAAACTCCCTTAATGACTTTAATTCCGAGTGGTGGTGTTAATCCTTCTAATATCATGCAGTGAAAATATTAGATTGTGGTAAGTGTCTCCTGTTGCACATGACCTCATAAGGTATAGGCAAGAATCATGCTTTGTTTAACGCGACCTTTTTTTGGGAGGTTTTGTTGAAAAATTGAACAAGTGTGAGAGAACGTATAGTGTAACCATACTTCTTCTTTTTGTCTGTTCCTGTTACCAGATGCACTAAGTAAGCTTTTCTTGGTAATCTGGATTTTTAGTTAAGAAAACAACAACAACAAAAAAAAGTTACTGTACTTAGAAGAAACCAGATGTTTTATAGATGCATATTAGAATATTATACAAGAAGAATGATTAAGGTACTCTCACTTTTGTGTGAACAGAATGCTATTTCATTAATAATTACGGAAAGCAATTGTGTAATAGTTATGAACTATATTTATTGCATGTGTGTACAACATAACATTAACAAATCCTGGCTTTTTTTCCCCCTACCTTTTTGTTGTTGATTTGTTTTACCTGAAATGTTCTTGTGCAGGCTGTTATGATATATATGTCTTTACTTCTACTATTTTACATATTTTAGTGTTCATATATCAAATATATATTATCAAGATCCATGCATAAGAATCCTATTAAAAGGAATTCATTTGTGGGACTTCTTATGCTGGTAAAGATGTTAATTAATATTCTGATTTGGTGATAAATTACAGTTGTTACTTGAGAATTTTGAATGTTCATCTTATATTTGTGATATTTCAATTTTGGTGAAGATGTGTTAATGGTCTTGGATCCAGGATATTGAACCGAGTCAAGACTTTGAGCTAGTCTACTAATTAATCACAATTTTGTTCATCTTTACACAGTTGATGATCCATAATGGAATGACGAATAACGAAAAGGACTACGAGATCTGCATGCGAGCTGAGAATGTCTATATTCCTCCAAGTGGATACTTCGGAATCACGGCTGCCACTGGTGGATTGGCTGACGATCACGATGTAAGATTTTGCACTTCGCGTTGTCATGGGTGATCGTTGCTATCCGTCTTTATCAGCTCCATCTTTTTCACTCTGATCACATTTCTTGAAAGGGGACACTGCTAATCTTTGTCATCATGTTTCCTAATATGACTGTTCTTACTAGTTGTGTATTTGAAGATCATCTGTTCCAATGTTATTAGAAAATGAGAGAAGCAAATTATCATCAAATAAGCAAGGAAAACAAGGATTGGAAGGATCTTGATTAGACCTGAGATCTGTCCCTCTCCGTGACTTATAGCATAGTAAACCAAAAACGTGATAGATGATCATCAGTAGACATTTTATTTTCAAACTTTGTTATATTTGGGATGTTCTTGGAACTCCATCTTCTTCTGGCTCCCCCCCCCCTAAGAATGAAGGACTTCTCCCCAGGTCCTGAAGTTCCTGGTGACATCACTGAGGTCGCCTGAGGAGATGGCAGTCATGCAGGCCAACGCAGAGGAGGAAGAGAGGTTCCGACGGGAGTTCCAAGAGTACCAGGAGAAGACCAAGAAGGCGCGTGATGAGTAAGTGGCTCCAATTTTCATACTCTGATACTCCTCTTATTCGTTTCCTCCTTTTTTTTTTCCATACTCCTCTTCCTCTTCTGTTCCTCTTTTCCTCCTATCCCTGTTCCTCTTGTTTTCCTCCTCCATTCCTGTTCCTCTTATTCCTGTTCCTCTTGTCGTCGTCTTCTTATTTCTGTTCCTCTTGTCATCTTCCTCCTACTATTCCTCCTATTCCTGTTCCTCTAGTCGTCGTCTTCCTCCTATTCCTGTTCCTCTAGTCGTTGTCTTCCTCCTATTCCTGCCTCTTCGTTGTCTTCCTCTCCTCCTTTACCTCTTGTTGTCCTCCTCCTCCTGCTCCAGTTCCTCTTGTCTTTTTCCTCCTCCTCCTGTTCTTGTCTTCTTCCTCCAGTCTCTATAGTTCTCTTCCATTTCATGTCCCTCTTTTTTCCTCCTCATTCTGTTCTTTGTTTTCTTCCCTCCTCCTCCTTCCCCTTTGTTTTCCTGCTGCTCCTCTTCTTTCTCCTCTTTCTCTCCCTTTGCTGCTATTTTTTCCCATTCTGTCATCATATCAGCACAATAAAGATTTAAGTTTAAGCTCTGTGGACTAAAACCAAAGATAAGCAAGTGTTTTGTGGGAATTTCTACATGTGGGGAAAGGTCATATGTTCCCTTTATCAGTTTTGATTTTCTTTTCAAGTATTTCCATATATCATTTTTCAAATAATTCAAGATAGGCATTATTATTAATATTATAAAATATGGTTTTTCTTAGTTATATCTGTATCTTCACTAAATAAAAGCAATTGCAGTTATTTGTGAGATTGTTTTTTCTGGAAAAGTACTTGAGTGTAAAAAGTACTGTCCAATCAAAAATTCCCAGGTTTTTGTTACGTAACTGATAAGTGGTTAAGTTATTATTGTGACGAGCAATGCATGATTTGAGGCACATTTTACCTGATTATAATGTTTTATGTGAATGTTAAACAAATATGGGTTTTCTACAAGACTGAAGTATTGTTCTTCTGTGGCATCAAGCTTATACAATTGATTACCCTAAATAAAATGATTGTTATTCACAATTCAGATTACTGAATTATAAGTGTGATAAAATTATGTGCCTAATGAAGACTATCATTTGATATATTAAAGGGTAGATAATTATTTGATTCAGTTGTTTTTTCTGCACTGTGAATATTGTCTTAACAATTATATATATTTTTCTGTTATCTGTAAGTTGCTTTGCTTATATGGCGAAAAGTGATATCATTGCCAGACACACAGCTCGCTTGTTATCCCTACTAGAGACTTAAATTGCTTGTTGTCCCAACCAGACACATAATTTGCTTGTTATCCTTAGGTATGTGGCACAAAATCCAGATTCCATACGCAAGGAAGCTGAAGAAGAGTATGAAACCGGAGAACAGAGAGAGCTGCGGCAGATCTTCCAGGGACAAGGACAGGTACTTGACATTCATTGCTGTTGAATATGGTGTGACTGAGTATTTGCCATGACGATGTTCTGTTTTGCTGTTTCATTTTTCATCTTGATGTTAAAGGAAAATAAATCTCTTGGCATGTAAAGTTCTCATATGCTCTATTTATTGGTGTATATAAATGGTATTATTTATTAATTTAAGGAAGAAAGATGATTTGATTATATACTCTGGGAAGTTATTAATTTCTTTTCTTTTCTTTTTCTTTTTTGTTTGGTTTAGATCCATGACCTTATTCGCAATCTCCATGCCAAATTGGATGAGATAATTGGTCGCCAGGAACGTACACTCGGCCTTGTGTCTGCAGTCCACAGTGGCATGGGTAAGGAAACATATAATTATCAATTCATACAAGAATGATTGCCTTTTAATACTTGTAATATTTATCCCCAGTTTTCTTTTAGATGTTATATTGAAGGTTATTCTTTGCAAATATCAAGAGAATGTGATGGAAAATGAATATGTATCATACTAGGATTTGATTTTCCAGGAGGGCAAGTTGCTCCTACTGGACAGGTACCTCCTGCACAGGTTGGGGCTCTGCCTGGGGACACTATCAGGCGTCACGAAGTCGACTCCATCCTGAATAACCAGAGGGACATTGTGGCAACAGCAAGAGATATCAAGTGAGTATTTTGTTTTATTTGTTTGGCTGTGGGATGTAGGTGATTTAGGTGTTTGTGAAAGTACTGTCATTCTGATTTTGGATTATTAATTTTCTGTTACTTGTACTACTCATTTTACTATTTCTTTGCTGTAAATTAGAACGGTAAATATTTATTTCCTCTTTTCTTCTCCTCTTCCTCCTCCTGTTCTTTGCCTTCCTCCTCCTCCTCCTACGTGAGCCTTTGAATAGTTTATGATTGGAATTTTTTTTGACTTCCTCGGAAAGCAATGTTACACTGTAGTGTAGTAATACAAGAAAGGTTGATATAGCAAAGGTTATGTTTTATTCAAGTTCAGTAAAGATTGTTACATTATTAGACCACTATTTATGGAATGTACTCTTTTGCAGAAACTTTGTGAATGATATCCACCAAAAGAGCAACCAGTTATTAACTAACAGTCAGAAGCCTCAGGGCTCAGTCCAGCCAGTTGGTTATGATCTGCATGTTACTCTCAATGAGATGAAGGAAGGTCTGAATATTGTAAAGGTAAGTCGTATCTGTTGCTGAAAGTTTACTTCGTTATTAATGATTGCTTTTGGCATTATATCCTGTTAATTACAAGTGGGAATGATTATTTTTTGTCTTCTCTTTGGGATTACCCCCATGTCAAGTATAGTAGAGATACTTTCATTATTGGATTTTGTCCATCAGTGGTAGAAAGCAATATGGTCAAACAATTGGATAAGCATTTTCAACAGTTATACCTCATGGATACAAATAATGCTGAATATTTTACATCACTGTGTCCCAGTTAACACAGTATGGTTTTTAACACCCTATGGTATTTCCACAGCGTGATCTCGGCACAGCCAATCAGCGTTTGACTTCTGGGCCCGCAGGCGGGTGCCCTCCAGTCAGCTGTGTCTCAACCGGCATGTTCATCACATTCATGGTCATCCAGGTGGTACTGCTGATAGGATATATCGTATACAGGTAAGACTGTCACCATTTTTTCTTGTATCATTCCTTTTCTTTTAGTTGCATTTTCTCTTCAAAATTTGTGTGATGCAACTATATGATAGTGAATATATATTTTTTGTGTTTGATATTTTATGGCTTTTCTTGTCTATACTGGTTTCACTCTATATGTATTATTATTTTTCTATTTGAAGTTTATTAGTTGAACTTCAGTTGGTTACTTTTGTATTCTGTTATATATCTCACTGCAAATTGAAATGAAGATAAGGGTGAACATTGCAAAAATGTAGAAATTCTAAGGTATAAAAGAGAATTGAATATCTAAACAGTGCAAGAGATATATTTGGCAGGTTTTAGTTTTATTTTCATGCATCTCTCTTGGAGACATAATCAAAACTGGTGAAGTACATCTCTTGGATTGCAAATTTGTTCTCATTCATACCTTTTCTACATACAGTGAAGATAAGGGTTAGAAAAAGTAAAAGTATATCTAAATGTTCTCAATACCATATAGAGGGAGCAGTGGGGACTCTGAGGGCTGCTTAGTGCGGTGGTTCTCATCCCGCCATGAGCACTTCCACTAGCGATTGCAGTGTTAGTAAGTTAGACGACCCTAATCCAGGGAGATCATGACGATAACCTTCCAAAAAGCCCTTTTAACGTTGGAGTAACTTGTCTGTGCACCCATAACCCCCTGAAGGTTTTAGCTTGTATTTTTTTTCGTGTAATTTGTGTTTTTGTTCCACTATTTTACTCTTTAAATAAGTTGTTATGCAGTTTATCTGATAAAGGAGTTGTTGCGATAGATTGTTGCTATACTAGAAAATAATTGGATCAAGAGTTGTTTCTGCTTTCTTGTTCCTAGTATACAAGATACAGTGAGTTTAACTTTTGTTTCTAATAGAATTTCATTACCCTACTAATTGTTGATCTTTGATGTTCATACAAGTTTGCAGTGACCATACTTTGTGATTGTCTAGGTTAGGCAAAAATTGCTAATGCAGTACTGTTGAAGGGAGAGATCATAACTTTGAGCTTATGTAGATGCTACAAAGTAGCATTTTGTAGATAGTGTACATTAAGTTGTTGAGAAAGTGTGAATGTTTACATTTAATTTTAATTCTTATAGATTCAAAAAAAAGTATGATGTATAGTGATGTTCTTTAGGTTCTTTAAGTTAACTCAATGATTATATTACATTTTAGCTAAATGTCATTACTCATATTGGGATGATGTCCCATCTTGTTTGGTCTAGCCTGCCGTAAGGTGTATGGGCCAAATAGTTTTTCACTTATTTGGCTCTGACTTTGTTCATGGAAGCAAAACAGTCCCTCAAAACTGTTCTTAAAGCTCCTTTTTGGCCTCTATATAAACAGTCATTTATGCCTTACCCAAGAGAAGGAAACGGTAAATTTATCTTTCCTGCATTTTTAATTCTGGCCTATGGTTTGTTATGGCACCACAAGCTCCCTATGTGAGTGGTTTAGCAAATTATCTTTATTGAATATAGCTATTCATTTGTAATTTTTTATTCTATTGTGTGTGCGCTTGTGCGAATATGTTTGTATGTGGGGTGTGCATGCATGATTACAGTATGTACATGCATGCTTGTTTCATCTATATATTTGTAGTATATTTTTTACTCTTATGACTACTCATGAATTTACTGACTACTGTTAATAGACTTTTTTCTCCTTGTTTCAGAGATAACAAAGATGCTCAAGCAAAGAAATTTTATTAGGCTGCCACACAGCTGCAAGAACTGGCAACTCCATATTCTCAGGAGTGAAGTCTTTTTCTTTCTTTCTTTCAATTTTCCCTTGTAGATCACTACTTTTTATGCAGCAAATTTGTAACAGATTTTATTTTGAAAGACTATGTATGTCACTGATGTAGGTATTGTTATTACTGTTTGTACATCAAGACATTTGGAAATTACAAGTGATATTTTGATCTGATACTTCGGGGACCTTCTATGATTGGGAAGCAAAATCGGTTTATTGCCATTTTGGGCGCCTCCGGGCATTTAGGAAAACCACAAGGAATAGTATTCTTCTATTTTTATTTCTAATATTTTGGGGATTATTATTTGTGCAGGTTGTGTTACAACCTTCATCACTCATAAAGCTAGGATTACATTGTCAAGGGAACCGTTGCAATAGATGTGGGAAGGACCAAACTACCTACAATTTCAAAGCTGGTTGTTTAAAGAAAATATGCTGATAGGTTTTTCAGAATTGCACTTGTGCATTTGATTGTTTTTATGAATATTTTATTTGCAAGTGATTTCCCTTCCCCCTTCCCTCCCCCCCAAAAAAAAAGATGTGTATGTAGAGGAAATTGTTTATAAAGTTATTTTGAAGTGCTAAGATTAGATAAAAAAAAGTCTTGCCTAGTTTAACAGATGGTCCCCTCCAGACATTTATTCTGATTATCCTTTCTCATTTATTATTATTATTTTTTTATATATAAGATGTCTTCCCAGCAGTATTTGTATCACTGAATATATATTTTTTGTCTCAAAAATCCAAAAGGAAGTGCATTAAACAAACCATATAGCACAAAAAATCAAGGGGATGATCATAACACGTTTTAATTTTATTTACTTCTCTTAATCATGTGATAAAGAGATATAAGATGATACCGTTCTCCTCATTGGAGGAAGAGCACAGAGAAAAAAAGTTTTATAAGTGGGAATGAAATTGTTGAAAGGAGTTTTGTGTGTAAATATTGTCACAATGATGTAAATAGCATAAAACCTGTGTTTTATAGCATTTTGGGATATTGAAGAGGTAGTGTTGGTGGGATTTTCTTCCCACCCAATCTTGCTATGTTTAGTTTGAAGCATTAACATGAACCTGTTGGTGAAATACTTAAGCGCGTAATATTATGTCCACCTTGAAAGTATTTATAATATTTTACTGAACTCTCTAAGAGGTGTAGAAGTGTATGAGAAGTTATTTTTTATTTATTTTGCTGTTGTCCTAAAAAAAAATATTAATAAATAAACATTGAGCTGTGTTGTTGCTCTCTTGTAGGAAGAGGAGCTGCAGATGCAAGTGTGTGATTGAGTAGAATGTAATGCAGCAAATGTTTTATAAGTGCTTCAGAAACCTCCCCCTTCCAATTCAGTACTAGGATAGTTTACATTAGAGAATATCATTAGTCTAGCAAGACAGTTGTGCGGAAGTTGCAAGTAAGAAAATTTGTATGATCGCCGTGACTCCATTCATTAATACTAACATTCCCTGTCCTTGACCTCCTTAAATCTTTTCAAAAAAACAAAAAGAAAAAAGATCTTACTTATTTTTTTGGAATGTGTTCTTGCCAATGGCAATTGGCATTCCTTTTATAGATTTTAGGTTTTTAAGCTTCTCATTTTTTCTTCACCTCAGCCTCTCTAATTCTCTATTTTTTTATTTTTTTTAAATTTTTATTATTTTTTTTTTTGTTTTGTTTATTATTTAGGTAACTTTTATTTCCCACTTAACCCAATCTGAGGACTTTTTTGATACCTGGGGTATGGTTTACCTGTGCTATGGTCGCTATTTTTCCTCTTCACAATTTTATTTGTTATTGCTCATTGGCACAGATTATAACAAACCAGATGTGAGATTTCTGTTTGATGTACAATTTTATTTTCTTCGCTTGTTGGGATTATGTTTAATTATTTGCAGTTTTACAAGTGAGATTATGTATGAATATATTACTATTCAGATTTGTAGCATTAATTTACAGACACTAGTTGTAGCGCAGAGCTCATTTTTATTTCAAAGCTCCTGGCAAATCGGGAGTTGGCAAAAAATTTTACTTAGCATTGGATTTTATTTTTACAACCGAACTAGTAAAAGGGTTAATATAAAGGCATTGAAAAAGTGATCCCATTTTTTTTATAATTATGTGAGATGGAAAGTACGTTGTTGCTTTTAGTTTTTAATATTTACGTATTCACTGGTGAGTTGAATGTATTTTGTTAAGATTTTGGGATAAATTATTAAAATAAATGTTTTCTATTTTGAGCTAGTTTCTTTTACCTTTCAAATTCAAAAAGATTTGACCATGATTGATATTCAACTTGTTTTATTTGATACTGTGGTTAAAATGTACTAAAATTCTAGTTTTACTTTTGTTTCTAACCCCCCCAATCCCATGCCTGTTGTTACCGTAGGAAGCGGGGCATATTAGGAGACGGAGACGGGACCCAAAGCAAGGAATCACTCCTGCCTTGTGCTTCAGCCTTCGATTCCACTTATTTTGTACTTTTTTTCCTGCTTCCTCTTTCAGTTTCTCTCTTCTCCAACCCCTTCTACTATCTACTCCTATATGGTGTGAGAGCTATATTGAAAGGATGAAAGGCTGACTTTGTGCCAGTCATGAATGGGGGACCATGGGCACAGTATTCCTTTACCCCTCAAAGGGACCCTGAGGAGTGACCCGTGTCTCCAACCAACATACTGCACATGGTCAGTAATGAAGATTTGCACCCTTATCAGGGGCTTCGAGGCTTGCCCTTTTATCAACGAGCCCCACAGATTTAAATTCCCGATTCCTCCACTCCAGGCTCGCCTTTGGCCACAACTGAACATTGCTACTACTACCCCTTCCTCAATGAGTACTATCACTTCAGTCCATCCAGGTCATTACTTAACCTCCAGAAAACATTCTTCGCCTCCCATCATCCTCTTCTTCATCACCTCCACCCTTACAGCTTTATTCATTTATTATCCTCCTCCTTTATTGTCCACCTGTCCGTAGTAGTACTTATCTCAACACTACTCCCTCTTTCACACATCCCCGCCCTTCTTCTACCGCTACTCCCTCAAACTTTTTGAATATCATTTAGCCCAGGCTAAATGAGATGAATTTTTTCGTGATCCCCTCTTCAGCTCCATACTATGACAACACATTCCTCTTTCCCAAAATTCCCCAAAAGACAAGTAGGCAAAATTTCCTTTCGCAGTCGTTCCCGCTTTGTCAGTTGCATATGAATCCCAGACTAAACCCAGCCCAGCCCAGCCTAGCCTCATCCCTTCCTCAATACTTTTCCTGGAAATATCTCCATCTCCCCAACGAACTGCCCTCTACGACAACGATTGGTCAGATTATGGAGAAGACGTATTCGCCTGCCTCTTGGACTATGATGCAGTGTCAGTACAATGCTACACCATTCCCCCTAGGGACCGCTGCAAGTCCACCAATATAGCCAAGATCACTTTCCAGAGACACGACCCCTCCCTTGATATTTATATTGGCGGATAATCCGTCCCTGTCCTTGTCAACCCCCAACCCCCTCAGTCAGTGTCAGCATTGTTGGCGTCCAGGCCACCCTGCCAAACACGGGCCGATGGCCTGTGTGCGCCTAACTTGGTCAGAATCGATCAACTTGCCCTGCAGAATCACGCACTTGTGCCAATCGTGGTGGCTTCCATAATGCATTTTATAGGGTCTGCCTTACCTGCAAGTTTAAATCTGAGGTGGGAATTTTCCAGTTCAGTGTTTGCCATACTGTGAGGCCAGACTGGAAGCATGTGAACGAGTTTGTTCTCTTACTCCCAACACCAGCACTGTCCTTTACTCTCCTCCTAAGATGTTTTTACATATCCACCAGTATGTCCTCCTCATCCCACTTCTACCTCCTCCCTCTCCCAGTCAAATTATTTTGCCATTCTAAATCCAGAGAGGTAGATCGAGAGTGAAAAAGCTGGTCAAGTATTTCTTGTTTTATTTAAAACTAAGGAAATGTTCCACACATAGAGGGCACATCATCACAGTGTATTCATGAAATCGGTCTAGTGTTGAAGTACAATTTTTATAAGTACAGCAAGTAGCCGATTATCATGCAAGCAAGAATAAATAACATCAATTGAGTATACTTGGGTTTACATCAATATCATTTTGGAACCACTTAGAAATTATGCAAAAGAGAAAATCAAAACAGGCTTCCGCGATCAGAGTAAAATACTGATTATGTATCCATATACTTGTAAAATGACTGGCAATACATATTTACATTATTTACATTTTATCTAGTATATATATAGTTTATGATCTGAAAATCTCGTTTGTAAAAATGGAATGTTGTGCAAGAAAATAGCATTTACATTTATAGTATAAGTAACATTATAACAACCTAACGGTGTAACTAGTTCTGTATCTCTCTGTCTTTTGATGGAACACCAGTAGACATAGAGACAATACACACAAGGGTTTCTACATATATTTGGTACATTTGTATACTCTTTAATGTACGAGTATATGCATCCTATTATAACGGGGCACCTTCGTCTGAAGGCTTGAGGCAGTCTTAAGGTATAAGCTCGGGAACAGATATAAACATCAGGCCACATACCGTGCACAAGGAAACATTTTTTTTGTACAATGCTTCCCTCAGATATAATGTACAACACATTTTACATTAATCGACATGACTAGATCATTCATTATACTGTAAACATGAATGTGATTCTTTAGGACCGGGACTAGTGTCTTACAATTTCACACAGTTTCTCTCCAGCCATACTTCTCGAACAGTTTATACCCTTCTAAATTCTTGTAATCTCTCAAGCACTAAATAGTACCTTGGGATTTTCTAATCCCTACAACGTTCACGTCTAAAAGATCTTTTGATCACATATTATGTTCCAAACTATCTGAAAGCAACATCAGGGCCGAATCAGTAAGTCCACCAAAACCCTTAGTGCACAAAAGATAGATGGATGGATAGAGAGATAGACAGACAGATAGATAAGTAGATAGACAGATAGGAAGATAGATAGACAGAGAGATAGATAAGTAGATAGAGAGATAGGAAGATAGATAGATAGATAGATAGACAGATAGATAGATAGATAGATAAGTAGATAGACAGATAGATAGATAGATAGACAGATAGATAGAAAGATAAGTAGATAGATATGAAGATAGACAGGGATAGATAGACAGATAGAGAGAAACACACACGACTTCCCTGAATCTCAAAATCCCCCCAGACAGTTTACAAAACAGTGGGTTCTTGGGGCTTCGACGCCACACCGGTGAAGAAGCCTTTGTTGACTAAGCCAGGAACGTCCTTTGGGTTGAGGTTCTGGTCGTGGAATTGAGGGATCTGGAGACCACCTCCTTCTGGCTTGACGGGTGGCTTGCCTGTTGGGAAGAGAAAGAGAAATAGAGGTTTATTTTTCTTATAATGGTGCGATGTGTTTTAACAGCTAACGAGAGAAATAAGTGGTTTCATTTTCATTTCATAATACATAGAAAATTCAGTCCAAAATATAGGAATAAGAGGTTCGATTTTCTTTCAATAATGCAGAGGAAATTTTAACTTTCTACGCTCATATCACAATCATCCTCATCTATACAATAAATTTTGACTTGTGTGATGTATGCTTGCCTTGTATTTCTATTCTAATACTATATTTTATCTTAAGTTTTCAAAGCTAAAGGGGAGAAAAGGAGAATTATTTTAACTAACTGTATATTGAAAGAAAAAAAGGAGGTTTAACCTGATTGAAAGAAAAAAAAGGAGGATTATATTTTAAATGTATATTGAAAGAAAAAAAGGAGGATTATATTTTAAATGTATATTGAAAGAAAAAAAGGATTAGATTAGATTTTAACTGTATACTGAATCTTTTATAGCTATATTTTAAGTTTTGACTGACGTGCACAATGCATGTACTGACTGGTATTTTATGAACATTTTAGCTCAGCAAAATTATTTCTCAAATGAATGAGATGAAAACACGTGACTATGGGTAGAAATCTAGTCATTCATAGATTGCAAATTGACAGACAGACTGATATGAAAATAGACGGACATGGACTTGCAAAGATTTATGAATGGGTTGATGGATGGATGGATAGATAGACAGATAAAAAGATAGATAGATAGATGGTTGGTAGGAGTGATTGATGGATGGATGGATGAATGGATAGATAAATAGATAGACAGATGGTTGGATTGATGGATGGATGGATAGATAAATAGATAGATAGATAGAAGGTTGGTTGGTTGGATTGATGGATGGATAGATAAATAGATAGTTGGATTGATGGATCGATAGATAGATGGTTGGTTGGATTGATGGATGGATGGATGGATAGGTAAATAGACAGATAGATAAATAGATGGTTGGATTGATGGATGGATAAATAAATAGATAGAAGGTTGGTTGGTTGGATTGATGGATGGATGGATAGATAGATCTCTCACTTTCATTTTCTCTTCTCTCTCTCTCTGACTTTTCCTCAATCTATGCTCTCTCTCTCTCTCTCTCTCTCTCTCTCTCTCTCTCTCTCTCTCTCTCTCTCTCTCTCTCTCTCTCTCTCTCTTCTCTCTCTCTCTCTTTCCTCTTCTCTTTCTCCTCTCTCTCTCTCTCTCTCTCTTTCTTTCTTTCTCTCTTCCAGACAGAAAAAGAGAAAGAGCCAGAGATAGACAGAGGAAGAGAAAGAACCAGACCCAGAGCCAGATCCAGAGCCTGAGAAAGAACCAGAGCCAGAGAAAGAGCCACAAAAAGATCCAGAGACAGATCCAGAGAAAGAGAAAGAGAAAGAGCCAGAAAAAGAGAAAGAAAAAGAAAGCCAGAAGAAAGACCAGAGCAGAGAAAGAGAAAGAACCAGAAAAAGAGAGAAGAGAAAAAAGAAAGATCCAGAGAAAGAGAAAGAGCCATAAAAAAAAGGAAAAGAGAAAGATCCAGGTCCAGATCCAGAGAAAGAGCCAGCCAGCGACATCCAGAACCCCCCCCAAAAAAAAAAAGAAAGAAAGAAAGAAAGAAAGAAAGAAAGAAAGAAAAAAGAAAGAAAAAGAAAGAAAGAAAGAAAGAAAGAAAGAAGAAAGAAAGAAAAGAAAGAAAGAAAGAAAGAAAAAGAAAGAAAGAAAAAAGAAAGAAAGAAAGAAAGAAAGAAAGAAAAAAAGAAAGAAAAAAAACAGTCCAGAACCCTCACTGTTCAAAAAGATGATCGCAGGAGCCGAGTGGTGCTGCATGTTGTCCTGGGGCTGCTGGCGTATGGATCCCGCCCTGTACGAGGAGGTCCTCTGGATGCTCATCACGGCGTCCTTCGTGTTCTTCTCGGGCTTGAACAACACGATGTGAACTTTCGGGAAGAACAGGCACCCGAGCTGTACGAAGCCTCTGTGGGGGGAGGGAGAGATGGTCGAGATGTTAAGGGGGTTTAAATGAATCTTTATTTATTCCTTATATAACAAAGACTGTAATTTCATCTGATTCTTTTTTTATTCTATTGTTTTATTTTATTCTTTTTTATTATATTGTTTTATTTAATTCTATGTTTCTCATTTTAGTTATTTTATTCTATTTATTTTTTATATTTCTATCTCTAAATTTGTATTGTAAATGCATAAGGTATATGTGAACGTCTAAATTTACTAATTTCATCCTAAAAAAACAGTTCAGTTTATCATATCCTCGCCTGAAGCTTTTTTTTTTTTTTTTTTTTATCACACTATCGACCCTATCTCGATGAAAACAGTGACCCAAGGTGACACGGGGACAGGATACCCACCCGAGCGACAGGGACATGGCCAGCGTGACGATCCTGACGTCATCGGAGGCCCCCGTGGACAGGTAGAGGGGCACGAAGACAAGCCAGATGAGACAGGTGGTGTAGTTGGTGAAGGCGATGAATCGAGCCTCGTTGAAGCCTCCGGGACACTGCGAGAGAAAGAAAGAGAAATGTGTGGGAATTCTGATAGGTGTAGTTTTTCTCTATCTGTGTGTATTTCTTTTTCCTTCTTTATCGTTGTCGTTTCTCTCGGGTCGTCGTCTCTCTCTCTGTGCACACACACACACACACACACACACTTCCATCCAACAGCCAAGCGACCCCCCCCCCCTCCCTACCCACCTTCCGGGTCTTGATGGCGTAAACCGTGCAGAAACAGACCAGCACCAGCGGATAGATCAGACCCACGATGTACGAATAGTCGTCCAGGCCGTTGCAGATGCGGATGCGGTAGTCGGTGTCCCTCGAGCAGAGGTGCTTGGTGGAGGGCGTGTAGTAGACGAGCCAAGAGATGTTGATGATCACTTCCACGCTGACGAGGAGGGTGACGATCACCATCTGAGAGCGCGGGGAGGTGTACTTGGCCTGTTGTGTTGGAAAGGGAAGGAGTTAGGGTCCCTCTGTCGGTTATCTGAATTGCTTATATCTATCTATAAATATACCTGTCTGTCTATCTATCCATTTACCTACCTACCTATAAATCTATCTACCAATCTATCCATCTCCGTATTTGTCAATCTATCCAGTATCCATCTATTTTAATATATCTATGTAGGCACTATATTTATGTTGTAATATGTAGGTTACAGGGGACTGGGTTAGGTCTCTGTTGTAATATGAAGGTTATAAGGGTTTGGGTTAGGTCCCTTTATCGTTATCTGAATTGCTTAAAAGTATGTAGGGACTATATTCATGTTGTAATATGTAGGTTATTGGGGATTGGGTTAGGTCCCTCTGTTGGTTATTTGAATTGCTGATAGGTATATTTACCCTCTGTTGGTTATTGAATTGCTGATAGGTATGTAGGCCTTATGTAGGTTATAGGGGTTTAGGTTAGGTCCCTTTGTGGTTATTTGAATTGCTTAAAATTATGTAGTAACCCTTCCCCCCCTCCCTCCCTCCCTCCTCCAAGACCCCCAAAAACCCGCCGACCGACCTTATGCGGCTTGCTCGGGTTCTTGTTGAAAATCCTCGATATCCTGTTGGTCTTGGTGAGGATGGAGGCGTAGCAGACGGTGTAGCAGAAGCCCAGGAAGAACCTCGTGATCCCGCAGGTGAAGATGGAGGGCGGGGCGACGATCACGAAGGTCATGGCGAAGGAGAGGAAGATACCCGCCAGGAGGATGTAGGAGAGTTCCCTGGAGGAGGCTTTGATTACAGGTGTGTCCAGGTAGACCCAGAAGATCACGGCGACGAGGACCGTGCTGAAGATGCCTGGAGAGAGGGAGGGTGAGGGAGAGAGAAAGGAAAAAGGGGGTGTTTGCTGTTTATTTCTGTGCTGATATTCGGGTTTTTAGTTCTTTTAATGGTGTTTATGGTAAAGATATCCACACCCACACACTCCTCTACCCTTTCACCTAACAAGCCATTCCAACATACACACACACACACCCGCACACACACACACACACACACACTCCCCCTCCCCCCCCCCCACCCCCCACAACCTTACCTACACACCCACATCCCCACCCCCCTCTCACCCCCAACCCCCCTTACCTAAACTAGCGAAAGCCAGAGAGGTGATCGCCCACCGGTTCTTGTAGTCAATAAACTTCTCCTCCTTCTGCTTGCAAGCGCCTTTGCTCTCGTCAGGAGCCATGCACTCGTCGCAGTCTTTGCAGAGTTGAGTGCTGTTGTCCAAGAACTGGTATGGTTGGCAGGGTTCACAACGCCAGCAGCATTTGTCTTGTAACTGCGGAAGGGTTGAAAGGGGTTAGTTGTTGGTCTCTGTGATAGTTTGTGAGGTGTGCGCATGTTCGTGTTGTTATTTGGGTAATGGTGTTGTTTGGGAGTGGTTTCTAGTTGTGTTGTTAGTGAGGGTATGTTGCTGGTGAATTGGGTTTGCATCAACTTAGTCTATCTCTTATGATAACGAAGAATCAAGATCAAACTCGTATCACGTTCATCCTCTTTAACATATCATTCTTAGCAGAAATCATGACTATCATTTTTTTTTTTATCGCTGTCATCAATCATAAACGTTTATCATCATTATCATCACCATCTTCTTCTTCCCCTCCTCCTTCCTCTTCTTCTTCCCCTCCTCCTCCTCCTCCTCATCATCATCATTATCACCACCACCACACCCCTCCCCTCCTCCTTCTCCTCCTCCACCTTCTTTCTTCTCCTCCTCCTCTTTCTTCCTCCCCTCCTCCTCCTCCTCCTCCTCCTCCTCACCACCACCACCACCACCACCATCACCATCAATCAGCCTCATTCTCTCCACCACTCCAGCCTCCTCCACACACCAACGCCACTCTCAAAAGACGCACCAGGATCTTAGCCTCCCCCGGCTTGCAAGGAGTCCCGCAGGAAGACACTGGGAGGCGGTCCTGTTGGCGGAATTTCAAGGAAGATTCTTCGAGGTCGAGAGTTTTTTCATCCGACGTCCCTGTATGATGGGGAGAGGGAAAGTTTGCGTTTTATTTTTTATTGTTATTTTGAGAGGGGGAAGGAGGGGGAAGGGGAGGAGGGGAGGAGAAGGAGGAGCAGGGAGGGAAGGAGGAGGAGGAGCAGGAGGGATATAGGAGGAGGAGGAGAGGAGGGATAGGAGGAGGAGAGAGGAGGGATAGGAGGAGGAGGATAGGAGGGGGATAGGAGGATAGGAGGAGGAGGAGCAGGAGGAGCAAGAAGGATAGGAGGAGGAGGGGAGGGAGGGGGAGGAGGAGGTAGGAGGAGGAGGAGGAGGAGGGAGGAGGAGGAGGAGGAGGAGAGAGGGAGAGAGAGAGAGGAGAGAGAGAGAGAGAGAGAGAACGAGAGAGAGAGAGAGAGAGGAGAGAGAGAGAGAGAGAGAGAGAGAGAGAGAGAGAGAGAGAGAGAGGAGAGAGAGAGAGAGAGAGAAGAGAAAAGAGAAAGAGCGAACAGACACCTAAACCAAAGATATAAGACACACACAGAAAACATAACATACACCAAAATGA